AAATCGTCTGGCAAAGAAAAAAAATAAAAAATTTGGGGGGATGTCAGCGTCCCTTTACGAAATTTGAGACCCACGAAATTGACCTTTTGTATTCAAGAAAAAAAAAACACTTAGGGCACCAAATTTGTAGAAACGACAGGTGTTGTGATTTGATTATCTATGAATACAATAGCATTTACCGCTGCACACAGAGGAAGGTTCCCCGCTAAATTTAGCAGGGAACCTGAATTCGTAGGTCCCATGATGTCAGGTCATGCGACATAAATTTTTCCACTAAATTTAGCGGGGAACCTGTATTGGTGCATAGGTCACATGAGGTAAGTTTTCCGTTATATTTAGCGAAGAAACTAAATTGGTGCATATGTCACAACGTAAATTTTCCATTAAATTTAGTGGGGAAACTGAATTGGTGCATAGGTCACATGACGTCAATTTTCCTGCCAAATTTAGGAGCAAACCTGAATTGGTGCATATGTCACTTAACGTACATTAAATTAAGCGGAGAAACTAAATTGGTGCAGAGGTCACGCGACGTAAATTTTCCGCTAAAGTTAACGGGGAAGCAAAATTGGTGCACACGTCACGGGACATAAATTTTCCGCTAAATTTAGCCGGGAAACTGAATTGGTGCATAGGTCATGACGTCAATTTTCCTGCCAAGGAGCCAAACTGAATTGGTGAATATGTCACAACGTAAATTTTCAATTAAATTTAGCGGGGAAACCGAATTGGTGCATAGGTCATATGTCAATTTTCCTGCCAAATTTAGGAGCCAAACTGAATTGGTGCATATGTCACAACGTAAATTTTCCATTAAATTTAGTGGGGAAACTGAATTGGTGCATAGGTCATATGATGTCAATTTTCCTGCCAAATTTAGGAGCCAAACTGAATTGGTGCATATGTCACAACGTAAATATTCCATTAAATTTAGTGTGGAAACTGAATTGGTGCATAGGTCATATTACGTCAATTTTCCTGCCAAATATAGGAGCAAACCTGAATTGGTGTATATGTCACATAACAGAAATTTTTCCATTAAATTTAGCGAGGTCATGACGTCAATTTTTCTGCCAAATGTAGGAGCCGAACTGAAGTGGTGCACATGTCACAACGTAAATTTTCCATTAAATTTAGTGGGGAAACTGAATTGGTGCATAGGTCATGACGTCAAGTTTCCTGCCAAATTTAGGAGCAAAACTGAATTGGTGCATGTCACAACGTAAATTTTCCATTACATTTAGCGGGGAAACCGAATTGGCGCATAGGTCATGATGTCCATTTTCCTGCCAAATTTAGGAGCAAAACTGAATTGGTGCATGTCACATAACAAAAATGTTCCATTAAATTTAGTGGGGAAACTGAATCGGTGCATAGGTCATGACGTCAATTTTCCTGCCAAATTTAGGAGCCAAACTGAATTGGTGCATATGTCACAACGTAAATTTTCCATTAAATTTAGCGGGGAAACCGAATTGGTGCATAGGTCATGATGTCAATTTTCCTGCCAAATTTAGGAGCCAAACTGAATTGGTGCACATGTCACAACCTAAATTTTCCATTAAATTTAGTGTGGAAACTGAATTGGTGCATAGGTCATGACGTCAATTTTCCTGCCAAATTTAGGAGCAAACCTGAATTGGTGCATATGTCACACAACAAAAAATTTTCCATTAAATTTAGTGGGGAAACTGAATTGGTGCATAGGTCATACGACGTCGATTTCCTGCCAAATTCAGGAGCAATACTGAATTGGTGCATAGGTCATATGACGTCATTTTCCTTCCAAATTTTGGAGCGAAACTGAATTGGTGCATATGTCACAACGTAAATTTTCCATTAAATTTAGCGGGGAAACGAATTGGTGCATAGGTCATGATGTCAACTTTCCTGCCAAATTTAGGAGCAAACCTGAATTGGTGCGTATGTCACATAACAAATTGTCCATTTAGTGGGGAAACTGAATTGGTGCATAGGTCATGACGTCAATTTTCCTGCCATATTTAGGAGCCAAACGTAATTGGTGCATATGTCACAGCATGAATTTTCCATTAAATTTAGCGGGGAAACTGAATTGGTGCATAGGTCATGATGTCAACTTTCCTGCCAAATTTAGGAGCAAACCTGAATTGGTGCGTATGTCACATAACATAAATTTTCCATTTAGTGGGGAAACTGAATTGGTGCATAGGTCATGACGTCCATTTTCCTGCCATATTTAGGAGCCAAACGTAATTGGTGCATATGTCACAGCATAAATTTTCCATTAAATTTAGCGGGGAAATTGAATTGGTGCATAGGTCATGATGTCAACTTTCCTGCCAAATTTAGGAGCAAACCTGAATTGGTGCGTGTCACATAACATAAATTTTCCATCTGGTGGGGAAACTGAATTGGTGCATAGGTCATGACGTCAATTTTCCTGCCAAATTTAGGAGCAAAACTTAATCGGTGCATATGTCACATAACGTAAATTTTTTGTTAAATTTAGCGGGGAAACTAATTTTGTGCAGAGGTCACGTGACGTAAATTTTCCACTAAAGTTAAGGAAACTGAATCGGTGCACACGTCACGGGACATAAATTCTCCGCTAAATTTAGCGGGGAAACTGAATTGGTGCATAGGTCATGATGTCAATTTTCCTGCCAAATTTAGGAGCAAACCTGAATTGGTGCATATGTCACACAACAAAAAATTTTCCATTAAATTTAGTGGGGAAACTGAATTGGTGCATAGGTCATATGACGTCGATTTCCTGCCAAATTCAGGAGCAATACTGAATTGGTGCATAGGTCATATGACGTCATTTTCCTTCCAAATTTAGGAGCGAAACTGAATTGGTGCATATGTCACAACGTAAATTTTCCATTAAATTTAGCGGGGAAACAAATTGGTGCATAGGTCATGATGTCAACTTTCCTGCCAAATTTAGGAGCAAACCTGAATTGGTGCGTATGTCACATAACAAATTTTCCATTTAGTGGGGAAACTGAATTGGTGCATAGGTCATGACGTCAATTTTCCTGCCATATTTAGGAGCCAAACGTAATTGGTGCATATGTCACAGCATGAATTTTCCATTAAATTTAGCGGGGAAACTGAATTGGTGCATAGGTCATGATGTCAATTTTCCTGCCAAATTTAGGAGCAAACCTGAATTGGTGCATGTCACATAACAAATTTTCCATTAAATTTAGTGGGGAAACTGGATTGGTGCATAGGTCATAAGACATCAATTTTCCTGCCAAATTTAGGAGCAAAACTGAATTGGTGCATATGTCACAACGTAAATTTTTTGTTAAATTTAGCAGGGAAACTTAAATTGGTGCAGAGGTCATGACATCAATTTTCCTGCCAAATTTAGGAGCAATCCTGAATTGGTGCATATGTCACAACATAAATTTTCCATTAAGTTTAGTGGGGAAATTGAATTGGTGCATAGGTCATATGACGTCAATTTTCCTGCCAAATTTAGGAGCAAACCTGAATTGGTGCATATGTCACGTAACATAAATTTTCCATTAAATTTAGCGGGGAAACTGAATTGGTGCATAGGTCATGACGTCAATTTTCCTGCCAAATTTAGAAGCAAGCCTGAATTGGTGCATATGTCACAAAACAAATTTTCCATTAAATTTAGTGGGGAAACTGAATTGGTGCATAGGTCATGACGTCAATTTTCCTGCCATATTTAGGAGCCAAACGTAATTGGTGCATATGTCACAGCATAAATTTTCCATTAAATTTAGCGGGGAAACTGAATTGGTGCATAGGTCATAATGTCAATTTTCCTGCCAAATTTAGGAGCAAACCTGAATTGGTGCATATGTCACACAACATAAATTTTCCATTAAATTTAGTGGGGAAACTGAATTGGTGCATAGGTCATATGACGTCCATTTTCCTGCCAAATTTAGGAGCAAAACTGAATTGGTGCATATGTCACATAACGTAAATTTTTTGTTAAATTTAGTGGGGAAAATAAATTGATGCAGAGGTCACGCGATGTAAATTTTTCACTAAAGTTAACAAGGAAACTGAATTGGTGCACAGGTCACGTGACATAAATTTTCCGCTAAATTTAGCGAAGAAAAGTATTCGAGGCCAGAATATACATGGCTATAAATATGCCATCGCATTAAAACTACTACCGAAAATAAGGACTAAAACTAGCAGTTGGAATATTCACAAAGAGCAGCTGGATCTCGTTCAGTCCGGCCGTCAGTCCAAGGATTCGAGGCAATGGGGTGTGTCGCCATCTTGGTAACGGTGATGTCGTACCCAAGACAAGTGGTGATGGACCACACCATTTTTGGATTCCTCTCGAACCGCTTCCCGGTGTGATTGGACTTTCTATCCGACGACTCCGGGAAGCGGTTTTCTGGGAGATGAAGCAGGGCCCTTGTGCGACCCGGTAGCCCAGTCCTGGGACATTACTTTCACTCTGGTGCTCATTCCCTCTTCTAATAACGACATCAACATCACTTAAGGCCCGTTCGCACTTGCAACTTCTTAAAACCGAGTGCCTTGGAACCTCTTAAAATCTTGTAGGACCAGAGGACACACTGGCACCATCTATTGGGTAGCAGTGTAAACCTGGCGGTCCGGCATATTTTCTATTTCTCTGGCGCATTATCCTTTCTTTCTTGGCTTGAAAAACTTTTGTCAACGTTATAAACAAGCCTTTCTTATAGGTATTACACACATTCGACCTCGGAAATCCCGCAAAACCTTCGCTCTTGTGAAATGCAGTTCCAGGGTCACCGCATAGATGGCGCCGAGTGCCAGTGTGTTTCCTCGTCCTAAGGAATTTCAAGAGGTTGTCACACTGAAATGCAAACATGTGAACCGGCGTCTTTATGACTGTTTACCACGAGACAGTTTGCTACGGCAGGTGCAAGGTTGGTGGAACGAAAAGTGCAGGATAAAAAACATAAAAACTCTCCGGGTACATCCAAGATGGATACGTTTTCAGGACGAAGAAAAAACAAACCCACAACTTCCCAAAAATGGCAGATTTAATAGTTTTCAACAATGCCCAGCAAGTTTCTGACTGGAGCTACGTCCGATTTTATTAATTAAAAAGGTTCCAACTACAAACGTTATTCAAAAACTTCAGCCTTTCCACTCTGGTGAAGAAGGAAGACCAGTGAAGTTGTACTATGTTTGGAATGAAGTAATGGCCGTCCGCAAGTCGGCAAGCCAGAGTGGAAAGGCTGGAGAGCTACCGCCATCTATGAGCGACGGCGGCAAGCACACAACCAGCAAACAACACTCTGGACAGCTACTGCCATCTATGATCGACGGCGGCAACTAGAGTGTTGTGTAAACATTTGTTTGGTACCGGACACGATCCTGGGGAACCTAGCCCTTAACAGCTCCGCTGTAAAAGCTACGAGCCTCAATGAAATGGCAACTCGATATTAACTAAAACGAACCTCATTTCTGTCCGACATAGTTTTGGCGGGAAAACAATGGCGAGTGTATGTTGAATTCCCCTGCACGCGGTCTCGTTCTTCAATGTATCTCGATGAAGGCTAACACACTGGGCTCTCAACTGTTCCAGATGCTGCACACACTTGTACACTGGGAGCCTTCAGCAAGGCTATGAGCTTCCCTCCATCAGCAAGGCTATGAGTTTCTCTTCATTGTAACGCTGTCTTGGGACGATATCTCGATCAGCTAAAAAAAATGTGCACAAGACATCCTAATCAGGACCAGAGTAGAGACTTTAAAGACACCTCTGAGACGTGCTGGGCTTATCCCTCTATCAGCAAGGCTATGAGCTTCCCTCTATTGTAATGCTGTCTCGGGGCGATATCTGGATCAGCTAAAAAATGTCCACAAGACATCTTGATCAGGTCCATAGTAGAGATTTTAGGGACACCTCGTGAATGTGCTGGGCTGAATCCCTCCATCAGCAAGGCAATGATCTTCTCTTCATTGTAAAACTGTCTTGAGGCGATATCTGGATCAGCTACAAAATGTCCACAAGACATCCTGATCAGGTCCAAAGCAGAGATTTTACAGACACCTCGTGGATGTGCTGGGCTGATCTTCCTCGTCGACGTGCTGGGCTGACCTTGAGATGATCACTGGTCTTGAGATGACCAAAACAAGCTCAGGATGTATTCCACAACTAGACGTCCTTGGGACACGCTGGGATACGACTAGACCAGACGCGTGAGCCGGGGCACCCTGCACAGCTGGAGCTCGGTGGCCGGACCAGTGCCCAGGACAGCCTCCAGGAGGGAGGCGGTCAAGACCTGGCCAAACACAAACGTGCCCAAGGCCACGCACGCCACAGCCATGCCGAGCCTGGTCCACGTCTGGCCGGCCGTCCAGACGAGGCAGAGCCCTGCAACGTGGGGTGAGACTCTGGCACCTCGGCATCCTGGCCACGCTCCACACTCTGCCACGACACTCCACTACCTTGGCAAATCTCGACACATTGCAAACGTTGGCGTTTCCCGTTCGAGTTCCGCTGCGTTCCAACGGAATTCCGTGAAATTCTGCACAAGACGGTTTGATAAACAAATCGAAATACAACGGCGAATTTTAGAGCGCAGCTCTTAGGCGCCCATTTCCGACTCGAGCGGCATCGCCGTGACCGCACGGTGCATTATGGGAAATGTCCCATGATGCAACGCGCGGCATGATGTGACCCTCGTGACGTCACGAGTCCCGCGCGTTGCATTATGGGACATTTCCCATAATGCACAGCATGGGGAGGAGGAGGAGCGGAGGGGGGGAGGAGAAGGGGAGGAGGAGTAGCAGAGAGGATGAGGAGGTGAGGAGGGAGGAGGCACATACCCTCCCCTCAGTATTCTTCCCTCCTTCTCCTCAAGAGCTGCGCTCTAATTAGACCTTACAGGGTGTTGTAAACGTTTTTCATTCTTTCAAATTTCTTTCTTTGACAATGCGCTTTCGGGCTTTGATCCATCAGATCCATGCGGTGCTTGTAAGCTCGTGCAACCCTCGTGCCGTGCTTTCTGAAAGCAAAAAAAGCGGCACATTTTCTGCTCGGGATTCCTGAGTGTTCCGTAAAAGTTCACGGGCTCTTGAATAACCGGCGTGCTGTGCTAACGTGGGCTCAACCCACTTTTGGATTGTGTCAAAAGCCGACAACAACATCGCCATCCGCAATGCAGTGTTACTTTATCAAGTCAACAAAAGGGCCTAATGCCGACACTTCGGACAAAGGCATGCGCATACAAGCACGTGCGGAAATGGCATGCAACGGTGGCCCGCTTGCTCCAAGAGGTTGCAGGCCCGAGAAAAAAATACTTGGCACTTTTTAAAATTAAGGAAACATGTAGGCCGAAAAATGTTGATTTTTTTCGAAGAAAAAGTGATTTTGAGTTTTTTAGTGTTCTATTATCTTTGAACCTTCCTCTTTTGCGTATAAAAAAATCAAGACCGGATATCACCGTGAAATTAGTCAAATATGAGTCTGAAGCCTTTCTCGCAATGGAAAACAGGGCAAATCTGAGCCATTTCCAAGCGCATGATTCTTTGGATCGCGGCATCACCCGCCATCGCGTTTATTTTGGCGCATAGGCCTAGCCGTTTTCACTTTGAAACTGTCGTCTATAGTTTCGTATTCTGGTTGTAAATAATAAGAAATAAATGTTTTCCCCGCTGCAAACGCGCATCGCCACGGCCTTTTAAATCCCCTGATGCGATTGTGGCCCCGCCATTGGCCGAGAGAAACGTGCTGCACGGTGAAGCTTGCTTGCTGTTGTAGCGTCACACTGTTCCTAAAACAAGGACTAACGACTTGTTCTATCATTCTGCTTTCTTTGCGATGGACGTCGACCGAAAATGCGACTTTCGAGCTCGGAAGTTTCGAACGACACACAAGTTCAAAGAAAGACTCCAAAAGGGCTAGCGGAAAGCTTCAAAGAAGAAAAGTTAATCCGCGGCAGCTAACCCTAACTTTGGTCGGGGCGACGCGGCGACTCTGATCGCTCGAGTTTCAACGGCAGCGCTGACGAGTTCGTTAGTGCATCGGAAAAGATCAGGATGTTTGAAAATCGAGAGAGAGCAGCAAATGCGTGTAGAAGTACTGCGATCAGAGAGATCGGCGCGATGAAAACTCTTGTCAGTGGCGCGGCATGCTCGACTTGCGAAAAGTGCAAACTCGCCGTCCAGGAATCGATAAATCGGCCGCTATGTGAAAGGGACTGGAATGTTTTCTGGAGCTGTGCTATGCAGTGAGGGAATTCTAGTTTGGTGGTCCAGCCTCTGACATTTGGAACTATATTACCACCAAGTTTCGTGTGGTTTGAGTGGGAACTTAGGTATGTCACATAAAACTAAACTTTCATTTGAGTTTTTCTCAAATTGGTATTTCTGCCTGTTTTCAGAGTTTGTGCACACAATTTTCACCGTTTTCGGTTACTGTATCGCAACCAAATTTTGCACAGGTGTTCCTGGTGATGTATAGAGTGTGCACATCTCACTAGGTATGCAATTGGCACCACTGGAGTTTTATAAGGATTATAAAACTAATAGTGAAACATAAAAAGTGGTGACTCAATAGTTCAAAATGTTTATTTGTTCGAGGCATAGCTATTTTTTTTTCCAAGTGGATTCGCACACTACTGTTCACAAGGAAGCAATCAGGCTATTTAAGGATGCTCTCTTATATTAAATTTGAGGAAAAAAAGTGAGCACAAAAAATGCATTTTATATGCCTTTATATGGTACAGATATTTCACCGAGGCAGATAGATATCAGAAAACCGATTACATGTACGACAAGAGGAGCTCAATATGTACTAACTGTGCAAATTTCAGCCTCCTAGCTTCAAAATTAAAAAAAATATATAAATATATTCTTGAGGAGCATGGTCCCCTTAAGAGAAGGGGATAATAGAACCTTATCAACCCCTTTACCACACCACACTTTGATTTCATTTATTTATTTGAGGGCTTTACCCTTTTCGCAGCTTGGCAGGTTCATAACTTACGAGTAATTCTATAACTTCCGCATATTTTTGTACTGCAGGGCTGAGGACCGGTCGTAATCAATGTTTTCTGGGTCATTCGGATTATATGACTCACGTGTGATATAGGTGATAAGACAGTCAGGACACGTGATAATAGCGCGATACGAGAGACACGCAAGCGCACCATCCGTGCGGTCCTGCTACTAGTTCGGTATCGATAACGTGATGCAGCGACGAACCCACCTTCGGATACAGCACCATGAATTATTGTTTTTTTCGCGGACCGCTGAAAGTTGTATAATTGGTGCTAATTGTGTCCTGGCCCCGTGGGGCAACCAGGAAGAAGCAGATGCGACACGAACGAGTAGCAGAACCAAAACTCGTCTTTAACTCTACGATACGGGCTATGGGGTTGCCGACAGATTTTTCTCACTTTGCAGGGACCGAAAAAACGTCCGAACAACACAGCAGTCTGAAAAATCGGCAGATTAAAAAACTTGCCCACTGCAGAATGGCGAATGAACGAAGCAAAAAGGTAACAATAATGATAATAATGATGCGCACCTAAAAAAAAAAGCCGTAGCATAGCGTCACCTAGCGGTAAAACTTAGCCGTACTGAAGTAGCACTGCCACACCAAGCCAATCCATGTGCAGCCAACGTAGAATCCAAAATGGCGGCTTTTCAGCGGCGTTTCCCCGCCGATCGCCCGCGACGGTTTTGTCCGGAAAATTGAACTTTCGGACTTCGAGCTGTACGAAACCTCTGTCGTAAATTTGCACCATTTCTATCAAATAGGTAACGGTTCCGAGACCTCCGGGTCCGAATTATTGGCGTCCGAAAAATTGGTCGCCGATCGTACACAGATGTTACACACTGTTGCCGACACAACAGTGTTCCACTGTACCCTGCTTAAAAACTCTGGCACACAGTATATGTGTACATGTTTTAGAAATACTAGAGAAAGTACAGAAATACTAGGTAGAGACAGTACATAGTACAATCCACGGGTCTTATAATCCAAATGACCCGGAAAACGACGATTACAACTTCAGTGTAGAACTTAGAACAAAAAAAAGTGCAACTTCTAAACTCACTCTTAAGCTAATAATCTGCTGGGCTATAAAAATAATAGCCCTCAAATAAATAAAAACAAAACCCAAGTTGTGCCGTAAAGGCGGAGGTAACTATTCATTCATTCATTCCTTTTATTTTATAATATTCTATCAAGTATTGGAAACTCAAGAGAAAGCTAAAGAGCTGGGCATCCTGTTTTTTAAAAGCTTTTTTACATATGTAGCAATAACAAATATTGATTTCAGTAATTCCTACGAAACTGCCGTAAATAAAAATAGAGATTTGAGATGTACTGAAAGATACGTCATTCCAAAAATATACACACTGTATGGAAAGAAAAAAAGAAATCATTACATTCCTTCCTTATTTAACGAACTCCCATAGTCCCTTATGAATATAGAATCCACTACGGTACTAAAAAGAAAACTAAGGAATTGGTGTCAAGCATCTGAGCTGTAGATATCGTAGCCTGACCGTTGGAGATATTTCATACATTTATTTCATGGTTACGTGAGAAGACTAGGCTATAAGCACCTATATTTCATGCCCTAAGGTGTTCCTTTTTGTATTTGGTTGTGTTGCTAATTTTGTGTTCCTTTCATTTTTTTTTTGTGTGCTGCGAAGTGTTTTCTTTTTGTTTTCTTTTCTTTTTTTAACAACATTTATTTTATTTGGTTGCCTGGCCCCAAATACTAGCAGAATGCTGCTTTTGTGGGCCAGCTCTTTATTTTGTATGACTTGATTTGAAAAGAAAAATTGAATTGAATTGAACCGATGGACGGACGAAAAGAAAAAATATCGGTGATTTCATCTCAACCCAAGCACGAATTTTGGGTCGAATTTTTAATTTTTGTAAAAGAAATATGTGTTCTCGGGCGATTTCTATGATAGAAAAAAGTCGCAAACAGCGAGTTTGTCGGCAGTCCTCACCCGGGAAGAGAAAGATGAAGAGCGCCGCCAGGGAGCCGATGGTCCGGATGACCGGGCCGATGCTGGGCACCAGGCAGGCCAGGCCCAGCGTCGTGCAGAACCAGGCGGACGAAATGACCAGTCTGCGCCGCAGCTCGCCACCGGCCCTCGACGGCGGCGCCCCCCCGCCCGGGCGGCTGGAGTAGAGGTCGTCCACGGCCGTCCTGCGAAGAGAGGAAGAAACTTTCAGCTTCCGACCCTGCCTTGGTGGCGAGCGGCCATGTGGCCGGTGCACCCCCATGGCCCAAAAGGGACCACCCTTCTGCCCAAGAATCCGTAGGCTGCATCAAAGGCAGCAACCTACTTTTCCAAAAAAAAGTCTACCCCTTTTCCAGGTCAAGATGTAGGAATGCTGATGTAGAGTGTCATGGCCCGAAAGGGACAACCCTATTGCCCATGAATCGGTAGGCTGCATCAAAGGCAGCAAGTCACAAACCCACTTTTCTAGGGAGCCTACGCCCTTTTCGAGCCAAGATGTAGGAATGCTGATGTAGGAGTGCTGGTGTAAAGTGTCATGGCCCGAAAGGGACAACCCTACTGCCCAAGAATCGATCAGCTGCGTCAAAGGCAGGAAGACGCAAACCCACTTTTCTAGGGAGTCCACTGCCTTTTCGAGGAAAAAGGTAGGAATGCCGATGTAGGAATGCTGATGTAGAGTGTCATGGCCCGAAAGGGATACCCTTCTGCCCAAGAATCGGTACACTGCATCAAAGGCAGCAAGTCGCAAGCCCGCTTTTCTAGCGAGTCTACCGCCTCTTCGAGCCCAGATGTAGGAACGCCGATGTAGACATTTCGGTAGGGATGTGAAGGGAAAGAGAAGTGCCAGAGAAAAGGAGGGGACCGACATTTTGACCAAACGGTCTTCTTCAGGTACACTGAAAGGGGAGATGACAGATCAGAATATATAGGGTGTCCCAGATAGCGGCCAGGCTCTTTAAATTGACCGCAAAATTCAATTTCTTAACCTATCGCATTCCCATTTTGTGCCGTGTTGCCCACAGATGGTGCATTTTGTTTGGCAAACTTGCAAAGAGCTAACTTACCTGAGGAAAAAGTAAAAAAATAAAAAGGCTTAACTCCTATGGTGTAATGCAGCGAAGCCACTGGTTTCAAACAATAGGGAGCCCTAGGGACCACCGGCCTTCTGCAGGAGTTTAGATCTTGATTGGGGTAATAGGGCGCTGTGCCGCGAAACGTTAGAAACGCAACCGCCAGCACAGCGCAGATAGCCGAGCGGGTAACCGCGTTTGATAAAGAAGGTGGTCGTCGTCTTAAGCTCGCGACAGAAATCGATATCGTCGCTGCAAATCCTACGGAGGCGGAGAAATCGCCAGAAGGGAATAGAGTTAATTTGGGATTTAGGATGGAAGGTAGCTATGGCCGTCGGCAGGTTCATAATGCACAGAGGTATGGAACTTGTGACCGTCACTAGTAATTTTTAAGCCTAGGAAGTTGACAGAGGACATCGATATCGGCGAGGTAAACTCGAGGGAGCTGTGGGCGTTACACAGAGTGCATCGGTGAAGAGGTCAACTGCGGGAGGGAGGCCAAAACCAAAAATGTTGTCGATATAACAACCGTAAAATTATGGGGGCGGGTGTAAAAAGGAAGGGAGTTGGTTTCGATTAGGAGCTTTACGGTGGTTGTAATTTTATCGGAGCTTTAAGGCCCGTTCACACTCTTGCGACCGAGAGGGATCAGACCGGTTTTCAAGCCTTTTGCAACTTTTTAGGACCGGATGCGCTGCTGCGGAGCTGGTCCTAAGAGATCGCAAGAGGCTTAAAAACCGGTCTGGTCTCTCTCGGTCGTACTTGGTTGTAAATGAGTGAACGATGCTTTACTGTGGTTGTAATTTTATCTTGGAGAGTGGTGGTGGGGTCGGAGGAAAAGGGTTCGTAAAAATCTGAGACGGAGAGCCGTCGGAGAGCTTCCTCAAAGTGGAGATCACTATGCGAGGCTGGCCCGGTTACAAGGCGAGTGCGGTTTCAAAGGGATTTTAGAGCGGTAACTTCTTGCGGGGTTGCGTTGTGGGACGTAGAGATTAGGTCACTACACGAGTTGGCAAGGATGCTACGGCATGCTTCGAATGAATTGTTGGTTTCGGGGTGTTTGGCCGGAGGCGGGGTCCAGACACCAGTTTTCGGGTTAATGGTGTCAGAAATGGAGCGTTTAAAGTCTGACAGTTGCTGGGTGAAGTGGGCGTGTAAGAGTGAGCGAATTTCGGGCGTCTGAGTAACTAATTTCGTTGATAATTTTGCGTGAGTGAGAATGGAAAGGAGAGTCTTTTAGCGACAGTGGACTTTTGGTGTAATTGGGCACAGTGGTCGCATAGGAAAAAAAAAAAAAGTCTCCCCCCACATGCATATGCGAAAAAAAAAAAAAAAAAAAGTATTCGCATGGATATAGGTGCAATCTAAATTCAAGCACGTTTTTGGGGTTGAATTCTTTTCATTTTGACAACAAACAACGTTTTGGGACCAAGCTTCATGCGAAAACGCACAAACGGCAAGCTTGACGAAAGTTTCGTTTTCAAGTTATTGATTGTTGCGGGGGCCGAGGCGGAAACCCACTTGTCAGGGATGAAATGCTTTACCGCTCCCCATTTTTAGGCTTTTCACACTACCGCACAAGGACCCTTCTCGGACATTCAAAACAGACTTCATTATGCCTAATTTAACTTTTCAATAAAAAAAAAAGTAATTTTTTTTTTTAAAGTTAATTTTTTTCTTTTGATGATTTCTGTCAAAGTTTGGCAAGTTCTTACACGTGGCCTATGTAAGATAGCTTAATGACCTTCATATCACCAGAAAGCTGAAAATTTCCTTTTTTTATTGCATCCAAATTCAATATGATACGTACAAAGTAAAATATTTTATATGTTTGAACAAGTGAATCTCTAGAAAACATAGATTAGAAATAAATTTTTTTCTAAAAACCAGATTTTTAATGTGCTTCATATTTTTATTAGTAGCAAGGTACGCCAGTGATATTTTTTTTGTTTATGTGACAAGAAATTAAGCTCGAATCTTGTGAAAGGCTTTTTTTTTTTTTATGACGAGCTTTGTTGCGGAGTTAAAATAATGTTTACTTTGTATCAGGCGCAATTTCAATTTACAGTATAGACCACTTACAATGTAACCGCTTAATGTGCAGGACCGGGTATAACGCGGCTTTTTAAACCAACGGTTTGCCTCCCATAGAACTCCATGTAATTACATACCGCTTAAAATGCAGGCGCACGAAGGGAAATACCGGTTATAGTGCGGCTTCTGGAACAGCCCGCCGACCGCGCCGAACAACCAGCACAGCGAGCACGCTTCCCTGTGCGACACTAGATAACGGCGCAAGCCGCTAGCGGCACTCGCGGGGCAAGGAAATCGCTCGAAGATTCTTCATCTAACATAAAATAAATTCTTTTACAAAGGTAAGTTGTCTCATGGCATGTATTTTGACCTGAAAACTTGCTGTTTTGATTATAACGCGGTACCGCTTATAGTGCGGATTTTCGCGACTCCCGAGACATACGTTATATGCGGTCTACACTGTACTCGAAAGATTTTGCAAAATGGTAGCTGTAGATGGCTGTTCTAACGGTCGACTGAAGACCCGTATTCGTTCGGGCGACGCTAGTTTTCACGTGTGGGTAGCTGTTCGTGTTCTTTGACGACAAAAAGAGGACGTCCGCGGAGGAACCGGATCCCGGAACGGCGGGATCGCTGCCGCTTTCCCTTTGGCATCTCCCCCGCGTCCATCCTTCGGCATGCGGGCCGCTCGCTGCCGGCTGGGCGGTCTCCGTCGGGTGATGGCAGTGGCCGCCACACACGCACTCCCGTTCCGTTGGTGTTCGGTCACTGAACGGAAGCTCAAATACGCTCGCGAGAGCGGCATTCGTCCATGTTGACAGAGTCGGCGCAACGACCCCGCCACCGCGCTGCTATAACCCACCGCGGTAACCACAGTCTCGATCTCCTAAATACTACAGATACCGACTATTCACACTTGACGTCACTCCTACGTGACCTCCGTTTTCGGAGGCCCAGAAACGAGAATGGAGATTGTTCAGTTTCGGTTTCTTTACTTCTTTCGTCGGCACAGAAATACGCGTCAAATGTCTACAAAAACTTGGGCGGCATGCTATGTTCGCAAGAAGCATTAAAACACCATTTAAAAAAAATTAAATAAAATCGTCTTCATTGTCCTTTTAAGGGTTTGGCACGTACAATCGTGCTCTACACTTTGGATGCCCTGCCTCGACCGATTCTGGAAGCGTCCTTGGCTCAAAAGTCAGAACGACACATTTCGTCTTCAGTCTCTTGAGCGTCGCGACAAAAAGAGATAGTTTTGCAGCAACGACTCCTTTCGTAGGTCTCGATGGCCATCTACAATTTCATCTACGGGGGATTAAAGAAGGTCATCTTCAGATATTACGCCTTTAACGGCGTTCGGAGTGCGGTGGGGCGACACAGTAGCCCTGTACTCGGAAACTGGGTTGAATGCCAGCAGGTCTGAGGTTTGCCGAGAGGTTGCGACTTCATCGAGATTTCCAGATGGCAATTTTAAGCTTTAAAATTCTTTTTGATTACAGATTCGAGAGTCTTAGAAACCAGGAAGGGAGATAGCTTTGCGAACAGTTTTTTGGTTTCAGAATGCATCACGAGAAATCGAGGAAACTTCTCCACAGTGGCAAACGTTTTTTGTGTTCGGACCTTTTTCAGGCCACAATCAGGTTTTGTGTTTAGTGTAGGACCCATGGGAAATGGGAAGACTTTGCCACCTGTAGCGCACCGCCCACCACGGAGTCCAACAAGGGGTTAGGTAACATCTCATAACAGGTCTGACTTGTCTGAGTACTATAGATTACTTTACCATAGCTACCAGGATGCTATAACCAAGTGTAGATCAACAGAAAGTTCTGTCACCACCCAAGGTTAGCCCTTGCCACCACAAAGAAGGTGGCAACCCAGGCGAAAATCAGCCCACTTCCAGCTGGAAATGAGGCAGTCCAGCTGGATTCCAGCTCGTTACAGCTGGTTCCAGTAGGAATCCAGCTGGACTGCCTCATTTCCAGCTGGGACCAGTTCCTTAATCCAGCTGGAAATGGACAGACTTTTGCCTGGGAAGGGCACCAAAGGAGGTGGCAAGAGCACATCATTAAGCATCCACAGCCAAAATGCCATTCAACAAAAACGACAAAGTGCGGCATTTTCGCTTTGAGAGTTTGACTGCAAGGACACGCGCCGAAGAGACAGCTTCCCATGCACCTGCCGCAGAAGAGGAGGATGGGGTAGGTCGCCACCACCTTGGCCGCCATGGCCAAGACCGCCACCAGCACGGCCGGCCGGCCGGCATCGTAGAGCTCCAGCACGTCCCCAGCCACCCCCCGGCCGAAGGTCCGGTAGCCGTACACCCCCGTGAGGGTGTACAGCCCGGCCGCCAGGGACACGGCCACCAGCACCACCCTCGGGAATGTGGACCGCTTCGCCAGGCAGCCGTAGATGGGCACCGAACTCACGTGGCACTGCACGGGTGTCATCACCTTCCGTAAGGGCAGTGTTCCCAACCTCAGCAATCGTTTCTTCCCGAATTTTATCAAGAATTCCCTAGATTTTCAGCAAATGTGTTAATTTGCGTCAATAGGTGTCCTCACCTTCTGTAAGGGCAGTGTTGCCAACCTCCGCAATCGTTTCTTCCCCAAATTTTATCCAAAAATTTCCTAGATTTCCCTAGATTTTCAGAAAAAGTGTTAATTTGCATCAATATTAAGATTATCGTTATGGAGTAGCTTAAGAATAGATTCCTGTGGTTCGGTGGCCATTTAAAGGTTAAATTTGAGTCGTCAAAACCTTTTTCCATAATATAACTGTTACTTTGGCCTTGTGTGGCCCCCCACGGTAAGGGCAGACTATGTGCAGTTACACAAACACAGATCCGCTGAAAACCTGGCAACAGTAAAATGCAACTCGGTTCCTTCCGTGATGCCAAGACTGCCGTTGATTCATTGCAAGCATTTGCCAGCCATTTTCAGTTTGTTTGTAAAAGTTTATCTGAGACAGACTTACAGTAATCGCTTACAAATGCACAGTTTACCGTGTTGCCTACTCCACACCTCGCCATAACCACTGGTTGCACTACACTGCACGATGGTAACCGCACAACTGCGCAGCGTCCATTTGCAATCCATGTCTCCGTCCCGTTCTCGCGCATGCGCAGACATCTGCCGAATTTTTGCCGAATCTTTGCCAAACTTACCTTCAAACGTTTGGCATTTGCCGAATCTGAAGTTCGGCAGATTCGATCCATCACTAATTTCTACATTTCTTCAACTGTTCAAGTGCCGTTTTATAACGAGTTGAGAGAAATATTTGATAGAGTTCATATATCCTACACGCCTTATATGCAAAACAGTCAGAGTAAAGCTGCTTAAATATTGTACTAAACATCTTGTATGCATTATTTATGTCAACAAATTGAAACGCTGTGGCCCAATCGGCGGTAATAAATTTCTTTCTAAATGTATCTAGCGTAGTTCGTGCAATGTTTCAAATAAACATGGGCAAGTAATTAGTACTGCTTTCAGATTAAAAACGTTTGACCCGCGTTTTGCGAAACGTGCGTCCATCCAACAGCCATTTCTGTCGTTATCCTATCAAAATAGAAAGTATGGGACATGATAGACAACTTAAGGAATCGAAAACAAGCCCATTCTAGTGCGAAAAAAATCATGATAGATATTGTAAACATACATAATAAGTTGTATAAACTTGGCCTATTCCTATACTTTAGAAAAGCTTTTGATACCGTGCAATGCAATATTCTACTAGAAAAGCTTACAACTTGCGGAGTTCGAGCAGTCCCATTAAAACTAATCAAACCCCATCTTACAAATTGCTATCGATATGCTTATATCAATCAATCATCTAGTAAAACGAAAATACAAAACGGTGTTCCCCGGGGTTCTATCCTGGGGCCTCTATTGTACCTCATATATATTAATGATAGAATTTTGATGTAATAAAACATTTATATGACATGGTTCTCCGAGGTCCTATCGTAGAAGGCTCACATTCATGAACTCAAAACTTTAATGATATCGAGTTACTGGCAGCTTATATAAAATACAAAACTTAGTGCCTACCTTCGTTAATACTATTTCTTATTTTACTCCCAAATTCTAGTTACATTATCTCGGTCTGGGGAACAACAACCAGCGTCAAACTACAATAAAATAATTATATTAAAAAAGAGAATACTACCTACGTATATGTGAACACTATCGAGGAGATAAAAGAAACTTAAAAACACAGCCACTCTGTAAAATATAATATGCTCAAGGCAGACCAGGTTTACTACTTTAAACTTTTACAATGGATACATAAGAACAAATTGTGGCCGACAAACTTTAACTTTTCAAACAATTAAAATTTTAAACAATACAGATATAGACTATAATACGACATTCCATAGTTTCAAAAGTAAATGCAGAACGCTTCCGGCTGGTGCTGCTATTACATTTTGATTGTCAAGTTTTCTTTTTCTTTTCTGGTTTCTGAAATTATCTTATTCGTGATCTTCGTGGGTATGAATTTAGACCATTCTTTTTTCTTGGTCAAAGTTCTATATACTAGTGACCCATCTGAACGTACAGGTTAGTAATGTGATGTGTGACGATTGTTGTTTTTACTATTTCAGCTGATTGCCTGAGTATAATCTAATCTTAACTCTGCTTTGTTGTTATTGACGATGCATTAAGCTCTGGTTCTAAACTTTTTATTCGTGTTGTTTCAGCAAAAACTGACTTTGCAAAAAAAAAAAGAAAAAAAAGGTTCGGAGGGGGATTTTTATTGTCTTGTGGCATTTTAAAGTAACTACCGAGAAAGCTGAACCCAATGAACAAGTCAGATTTTCAGTTCACCCTTCCAATGAACATTTAAAATGGGACACTGTTCCATCATATCGCTGTAAAGTTCATAAAATCCGTCTGCAAGTCCAATGCAATTTAATAACAGCTTGAAACAATTGCTTACTTAGGCTACTCTTGCCTTGTTGGTTAAAACGTCAGTTATGTTATGCACTGTTACACTCCCATCTTAACTATTGCCTAGTAATTTGGGGAACAACAGTAGCAACTAACCTTGACAAGTTACTAGCCCTACAGAAGAAAGCTATCCGGTGCATAGGTCATCTAGATGGTTATGCCCATACTGCTGCTTCTTTTCTGGAGCATATTCTTTCCATGTCCAAGAACATTATTACTTGAGAGTGGCTCTCGAAAATGATAGGATTTAAAAACATTGAGTCTCTGTTTCTAGAAAATTTACCCACAGAAAACTACTACCGTGAAATCCCGAGATGCCCCTCCCCCGAAAGAAAGCCCACCCCTATTTTTGGCTTGATTTGCTATTTTTTTTTTAAACCCCAAAAAGATAGCCTACTTCTAGTAATAGTAATGTTGGGATCAACGATGGCCTCGGCATTAATGCGGCTAAATCACTATGGCGGGATATAAGCAAACATTGCTAACTGGAAAGTAGAGTTATCATTGCATTTTTGCCCCTTGCCACCATAACAAGCTTGGAAGAGACACAACCTAAAAATAGCAATGTTTTAACATTTTCTTGATTGCACACCAAAAGTTAGCAACTCCATATTTTCAGCCGATTTGCTCTTGATGTTAGGTAGGCTATCTCTCGGGATTTTACGGAACCCATAACATGCGTCACGAAAAATGTGTTCAAGAAAAAACTCACAAATTATGGGTCTCAACTTTTGAGTTGCATAATTCCAAAATGTTTAAGTAGATTCCCAGAAACGGTAGACATTATTACTAACTGTCAATCGCCTCGAAATTTCAGAAACAAAATAAGGCTTTGCATGTTAGGTTCTCAGCAATAATATGCCTCCCATCCTGATCCTTCTCCTTCCTTCCTTTTTCTTCTTGTTTTCCCTTTGTTTTGTATGATTTATAGCACATCTATCATCCACTATGTTCAGATATCTATACGTACATTTATGTTTGACATTAAGCCAATGTTACAAGTGCACCATTAGTTGCATGTGTGTAATTATGTCTATTGTTGCTGTGCTGCTGTAGTGCTGCAACAGGGACTGGAGCCATGTCAGGCGGCTTTAGTCGCCTTTCGCTCCAGCATACCCAAACTTCTGGTCTAAATAAAAAACAAAATGTTGAGGAGCATCGCTGGAGTTGTTGGTTGTCTGCCTCTCTTCCTTTGCACCGTTAATTTGGCACACCGTAAGCGCACCGAGATGCCAGAGAGCTGCCACCGCCTTCGGGTTTTCCGGAAAGGGCCAACAGTTGGCATCAGAAACTAGCAAGGTCATTTAAGGCCAAGCCACTTTACCAGTCACTCCTCCTTCGACTGCGACCAATTTGTTTCCCAGCACTGTCTTTCAACTTAGGCGAAAATCGGTCCACCAGCTGGATCCAGCTGGATTCCAACATCATGCTTCTGATGGACTCCAACAGCTGGACACTTGCGCAGGGTAGAGGTGCTTTGTGCCCCACCTTCCCAGGCAAAAATCAGCCCACTTCCATTTCATTTCATTTCATTTATTATACTCTCAGGGCCCGAAGGCATTACAGAGAGGAGTGGAATTATATTCATCAATATAAGGTGAACAATAAAAACAAAACGCAAAAAAAAAACAAAAAAAACACAAGGTACAGAATCGCTATGGAACATTGTTAAGAACATCAGTTATGGTGGTTTTAAAATTAACAGCGTCAGTAAGTGAGACTACGGATGCGGGAAGGCGGTTCCAGTCGACGGCAGTCAGAGGTAGGAAGGAGGCATAAAAGGTGGAAGTGATGCAGTAGGGGATTCCTACTTTTAGTGGATTTTAGTGGACAACAGAAAATATTCTGATACCACATTCAAGATGTTTATGTACTGAAATTTACTGGGGGATCGGGCTATCTACTCTATTTTGTCTTAAGTTGAAGTCCATAATTGAAAAAAAAAAAACTTTTCAAAAATTGACATAGGACAGATATGCATCTCATATTTTGAGGTAATAATTTTGAGGTAATAACTCGTCCTGAAATATTTACAGCTGGATAATGTAACTGGTCCCAGCTGGAAGTGGGCTGATTTTCACATCAGAAATCGGCGTAAATGTACCTGGTACCCGAAGCAGATGACCGGCACGACGCTCAAGACGGTCTCTGCAGACTCCGGAGAGGCCCTGGTCTGCGCAGGAGGGTGGTGTCCGGTGTAGTAGTCGGCCACCACCAAGCCCACCAGGTACAGGCCTGCAAAGACACCCAAGGCACTGGGCCAAGGGCATTCTGTTCAGAGCAGCCTCCACTTCGGCCGCAGGCCCACCCAGCGGCTCACCTACAGGCTGCTAAAACCAAACCCAGAGCGACAATTGTACGACCAACTCAAAGGGGAGACGTTGACCCGAGTTTTGGTTGCATTCTGTGCCACTCATTGAAGATATTAATTAATGTATGCCACCGCAGGGTTGATAGACTGATTGGGGGTTAATGGCACATTAGCATCTAAGGCTATAATGTGCCAACAGTCTGAACTATTGCAGTAGAGGGTTAGAGAGAAGAAAGAGCTATAGTAGCTGGTGATGTGATAAAACTATGAGCACGCATTTGTATAACTGTAAAAGGTATGGTCATGAGTCGGGGTGGAAAATAAAATCCAAGTCGGTGTATAAGGCCGCTATCGGAGTGAAACTTAGATAAGCAATCATGTGAAATGAGTGGTTCATCACCTAGAAGCAGGGCTAGGTGCGGGGCAGTACCCCACCATAGGGACGCAATTTCCAACGACAAACTGGGTGAATGCACACATTTTTGTCCTGTTATTGTGGACTGTAGGTGCAGAGGGTGACAAAAGAAAATAATTAAGGAAGGGCCTTTCGGGCAGGCTACAGAAATCTAATGAAGGCACATTCTCTTCGCCTCCTCTAGAGAAAAAAAAAAAGAAAGAAACTGCGTGGGTTGCAATTTAATTTGGCTCGCGAGTCCTAAAAATCGAAACTACAGTCTAAGCCCTTTATAACAGACCTTGATTCTGACCAAGTTTTCAATCTGTTGTAAAACGAGTATGTTGTATGCAGATCTGAAGTTGAATCAGTGGTATGTAGAGGAAAACCAACCGAACGAGCGCCTCGGGAAATTTTGGTTGAACTAATCTGGGAAAGGGGGGGGGAGACACCTTTTTGAAGGACAAAGATTTCAAGGAGGCTCTCACAGACGGGACGGAAACATTTGAGACCATGTCACACATCTGGCTCAAATGCTGAGGGTTCGAAAGGCCTCTAACTTAGCGAAACTAGCCTGGGAACTATACAGCCCTAGATGAATGTTGCGTTTGGGGATCCTGCTTGAAGATGCCAGTGCACCCCAGAACAACTTTCCCCAGCAGGACGTCTTGCTGCGGCTGATATGAGACTCCAAACATACACGGCATAGGGCTCGTGTCGTAGTTCCCCCTGAATTTGATGCGTCCACAGCATGCAGAGGACGCAGCAAGCTGGGGACTTTGCCGAAAGCCACGAGGGCGGACAAAACGACGCATCTTTAGTGTTAAGAAGGAACACAAGCCTAAATTTCAAATTTTTTTTTTAATTCATTTTTTAGTTTTTTAGATTTGTTTGAAATTAGTTATACACCCTTACACTAAATCTGACAACCATGCGCCAAATACTTAGGTCGATATAAAATATTTTCAATCCATTGTAAGGCAGTAACAAAGTAAAGGAGTTTAATGTTTGAATGCATTTTTCTGAGTTCCACTTTTAGCTGCAAATTTCCTACGAAGGAATCTTTTTTGTTCAAAGGTAAAAATATTCCGATACCACATTCAAGATGTTTATGTACTGAAATTTACTGGGGGATTGGGCTATCTACTCTATTTTGTTTTAAGTTGAAGTCCATAATTGAAAGAAAAAAAAAAAAACACGTTTTCAAAAATTGACATAGGACAGATATGCATCTCATATTTTGAGGTAAAAACTCGTCCTGAAATATTTACATTTGAGTTATGAAAAACTAGACAGCCCGAAGCCCCACATCCCCCATTTTATATTCGAGCAGTCAAAATGATGCTTAATAACTTCATTTGTATATCATAGATTTCTTAACGAAGAGTGACACATCTCCTTATGCAGGCATGTAAAGTTATCCTAGAGAGCAGAAATTTTGCTCAGTACACCTACATCTGACATTAAATATCCCCTGCAAATTTCGTTCAGATCACTTGAGTAGTTCAGAAGTTCACCCTGTAGCCAGTGTCCCCCCTTAAAGTGGAAGCCATCGGTTACTTGGGTTATACAAAGAGAAACTTGCGCATGGGGTTTCTCTCATAAAGGCCGCCTCCACTGCATTTCTGCCAGGAGGCGCCCAAAGCAGAAGACGTCAAGGCCACTAACTCTGGACGTAGCTTCTCCGTTGGAAAGCAGAAGACGTCAAGGTCAAGGCCACTAACTCAGGGCATAGCTTTTTCGTCGGGAAGCAGAAGACGTCAAGGTCAAGGCCACTGTCGGGAAGCAGAAGACGTCAAGGTCAAGGCCACTAACCCTGCACGCAGCTTCTCCGTCAAGGAGCCGCGGTTCGCTTTCTTGTTTTCCCTATTTCCATCGAAACCTACTTCCCAGCCTGTCGACGCAAGAAAAGCTGCCATGGTCCAAAATTTAAGTACCCTTCACACTACTGCTGCCCACTTATTTCTGACTGGCTGTTTCTTGAATTCGAGAATGCGCAGGGCGCTACGTCAATCGACGGTTGAATACGATGCTTAGTTACTTCTAAAAAACAAAGTTTAGGTTTGGAATCAACAGATTTTGCACCGTCCTCGGAATGTGCAAACCCCATCATTGGGAAGTGCAAACCCATCATTGAGGAATCTGTGAGAATCAGAAAACACCACCATCTTCAGCAGGGTCCCTCGAACAATTGGTCTGAAACTGTGCGCCGCATTAAACTGACAAAATTACTTGTAATCAATATTTTACATATTTCATGACTTCCCGTTTAGTACTTAGACCAATAACTAGAAAGGTAATTAAATTACTGAAACTTTTGTTTTCGAAGACGGGAATACTTAGGGTGACCATAATCCTCAGAGTAGAAAGGGGGACATCAGAGGAGGAAGAGGAGGGGGGAGGAACAAGGAAGAAAAAGCTTTGCTACTCTTCAGTTTAACATAAATATGCACATTTTTGTGGTGGGTTCTTTGTTGAGAAATCAAGTGCCCTTTTAAAACTATGCTGCCAATCAAAGCGTAAATAGCCTTTAAACATGCCTATGCAAGAAATGAGTTGGCAGATGTAACCGCAGAAAGAGCTCAAACTTGTACTCATTATAACATTTTCATATTAGTACAATAATTTTTATAAAATTATGTCTGTGAAGTCCAACGTTCTTTTCGTTTTCTTCCGCTCGCTCAGTACTGATTTTGCCACTATGCAGATTCCCGCAAAAACGGAACATTTGGGACAAAAACGGGACAAAATTAAGGGACAGAAGAAACCTTTAAAATGGGACTGTCCCGGCCAAAACCGGACATCTGGACACCCTGAGTACACATAAATTACTGTTGTCTCTACTGGGGTACTTTCTTTCACCACACATATATGAGGGAGACACAAAGTCTTGAGTGAACAAAAAGAATCACATATAGAGCTCGGAGCTACTCACAATCAATAAACACAATCATGCCACCTAAAAAACCCTTTTAAAGCACGAAAACCCCCCCTTAATCCGGGACCGACCCGTCGAAATTCCAAAATCCCTCGGACGAAAATTCCGAGTACACAAAGGCACCCATTCCTTAAACTTATTTATTTATTTATTAATATTTATTTTGAGTGACCCACCAACAGCTTAACGCCTCCTTAGTGGCACACTTATCAATGAGTAAATTAGTAGTAAAATTTTAAACCGGATAAAAACAAAATATTAGGAAAAAAAGTAATAGTCTCAACACACTTTCGAATTTACGCTCTTCATCAAAAATATCAAGACTAACATTGCCCCAAATCTGTTCTAAACGGTTATATGTCACTTGTAGGTGTGTCATGGGTGCAGCAGCATGGTAAAAATCAGTAGGGGGTAAAACAAAGTATAAAGTCTACAAGACCTACGAGGAATGTGCAAGTAGATTTAACTCAGTAGCTCTGGGGAGTCAATTCTAGCATTTACAATCTTACACAAATACATCAGTCCACAAATTTTTCTCCTGTTGTGCAACGAGTCTACCTAACTTCCAGAGTTCACAAACCCTCTCATAACTATAGAAATAATTTGGTTGAAAATAACGACCAAACAAAACACTAATGAATCTACGTTGAACAGTCTCAATTACACCTGAATTCGTCACTCCAATACAATTCCAGACAATCTTCATCAGACCTTCCAGAGCTTCATCCGCTTTTCAATTTGCTCAGATTATTTGCACAGAGCTCGAGTTTTCCAATTGTTTGTGCAGCTGTGCAAGTTCTGACAAAAGACTTTTCCTGCTTGCATGCACAGGCCCCTGTGGGCGCCAGTGGCCAGGGCCACTGGAAGAAGCACAGGTGTGGCTCACCTGGGGTACTTGAGAAAGTCTATGGTGCCGGAGAAGCAGAGGGGCAGGACCAGCACCACTGCCACCAGAACCGTCACAACGTCCCGCCGCATGTACCAATAGAGGCAGTAGTCCGACCCGTACCACGACGCAAACACTGCAATCAACACCACAAAGAGGAGACCTCAGATCACACCACAGATCACACTCCTCCACGAGCAACTCGAGGATTCTGCGCAAACGGGGGGCGACCATGGCCAGAAATTCGCACATGCTCCACTGCACACGCTAACTCGCTTATATCGAACCCGGTTATTTCGAACTATCCCTTGTATATCGAACTCTTTGTGAACAGACCAGTAGCTGCAATAAAAATGCATGGGAAAATTGCGGTCACATATCGAACGAAAATTGCAGAGTCTCCCGATAGATTAAAGGGGCCCTCCGGAGCGTTCTGCAATGGTCTATTTATGGCGGTAACTCAATCCACAGGCCCTAAGGATCCTAAAAATCATAAAATTACAGTCATGCGCGGCAGATTTTCCTACTAAAATTGCTATCAAAGTCCCCGGCACGCCTCCCTTTCTGAGATGACCCCGGAAAACGGGAGGGGCATCTCTTTACACGTCAGCCAATAGCAAACGAAGGATTCCGGCGTCACTGCGCGTCACCAACGCGGCCGACCACCGACCCGCGGAGGAATCTCTCGAACACGCGCAGATTGTTGTCAAGGGGCCCAGACTTTGCGCTCGGCAGTCGTCGTTCGTCGCACCGCTCCGTCGCGCTGCTACTGCAATACGCAGTCGCATTCCACAGATGACAAGAAAACGTTTGACTTGTTGACGTGGAAGGGTCGCAAAGCTGGCTTCAGAGTCGGAATCCACGGGAAGAAGGAACACGTGTCCCGCAAACGGATGCCTGCGCACGCCCCGGGAAGCAGACGAGCTGACGCGCCGACGCATCGCCCCCTAGCAACAAGCTTGCGGGGAGAAAACATAGTTCGCTGGTTTTGGAGCGATAATTGCGGACTATGTTTTCCACACCACAATCAGTTTACGTTTTTCTCAAACTCCAATTTACAACAAGCTTAAAAAGTGTTGCAATAATAACGTTCGCCTTCACTGCGAGATGCAGCATTTCCATTGGTAAAGTTTTAGCGATGGGCGGGCAATGGGGGATTGCCTTGCAAGAGAAAATAGTCCCGATATTTCTACTGCCATCAGCTTAATAAACGGTTTTGTAACCTAAAACTTTGTATACATATTAACTTGCACCTACTACACAATATTACAACATAAACAGACAATCTCAGAAAGCTCCGGAGCGCCCCTTTAAACTGCCAAGAGCGCAGTTTAGCTCTGCAGGTTGGCTTTCCCCCTTAACGAGTGCATAACCGATGGGGGAAAGCCAGCTTGCAGAGAAAGCTGGCTTTCTTTTTTCTTTTGGGCAACCGTGTTGACCGCCTGGAAGAGAAAAAAATGTCTTTTGCGGCGGGAGCGGGGAGAAGGTGAGCCAATGAGACCTCGAAAAAGGAAGAGGCGGCCACTGAATAGCCGCGTGGATCGTCCCTCGTGACGTGCAGAAACTCCTTCGAGAGTAAACAGCTTTTCTAAATGTCTCTGTTCGTTGTCAGATTCATTAAAACTCTTATATAGAATTACCCGCTATATCGAACTGGATGACTGTTTTTTGTGAGTTTGATATAAATGGTTTTGACTGTACTATAGAAATCCGCTGGTTGTAATGCGACACGTTCTTTGGATATGATTCACATGTCCGTCACGCTGCAGTAAAGCCGGCGACGTACTACAACTATGGCCTTTAGACAGATTCAAAAACTCCTCAGAACTAGGCTTATCCAGACTTGCCACACACAACACTGGGAGATACGTTTACCACCGCAATGCTCCCATCTTCACAACAAAGGAAAGGTCTGCGTGCATACGCAGATGCTTAAAAAAATGTTTGTGTGCCTGCACGATACTGTTAGCATGAACGTGACAATGACACTTTTGAGCACTTTACTTGGAAAGAGCATTGTTGGGTGTTAAAGCTTACCACCGAGGTTAGTGCTCCGAATAAGCACTTTCCAATGCACTAGTAGCTTTGACCACAGACCTACGATTTGGATAAAAAAACATTGAAACCAGACAATCTCTCATTCACGCTAAGATGCAGTGTTGTGCTATGTATGTATGTCGATTTTATCCAACTCATCGGGTTCAGAAAGAGAAGAGAAAACTTTCAGCCTTTCCACTCTGGTGAAAAAGTCGGCAGGCCAGAGTGGAAAAGGCTGGAAAGGTTGCCGCCGTCTATGAGCGATGGCAGCAAGCAGACAACCGGCAAACAACATTCTGGACAGCTACCGCCATCTATGAGCAACGGCGGCAAGCAGACAACCAGCAAACACAACACTCTGAACAGCTACCGCCATCTATGAGCGACGGTGGCAACCAGGCTGTTGTGTCGACATTTGGTACCGGACATGTTCCTGGGGAACCTAGCCCTTAACAACTCCGCTGTAAAAAAAGTATAGAGTGTTACATCGCACAGGAATTAAGGCTACAAGCCGATGTTAGAGGAAAGGGCCCCCCAGGCTCGAACTCTCAGGGGAGGGCACTCCCGAGGTCACAACGGCCAACAGTCAGACACCAGATCCAAAGGAGTTGGTTACTGGGGCGACTGTCTACCATGAAAGATGCTTCTCCTCCCAATTGTTATGTGCGCGTGAAACAATCACGCCATTATGAAAGCCCAAGTGCTGTCCCCTTCCAGCTGGATCATGGAACTGGTCCCTGCTGGAAATGAGGCAGTCCAGTTCCAGCTGGACTGCCTCATTTCCAGCCGGGACCAGTTCCATAATCCAGCTCGAAGTGGATTTTCACCTGGCTCAGCACTGCTGAGTGCTGAGGCACTCGAAACTTCAGGCTCCGAGGAGAGACTCGAGGAAGAGAGAGGGGCACCCACCACGGTCCGAGAAGTCTCCGACAATGACCAGGAAGGCCACGCAGCTGCCGTAGCAGTAGAGCGCCACCAGCAACGAGCAGAGGGCCCCCAGGCGGCCCCCGCAGGCCAGGCTCACCGTCCGCTGGTAGCTCTCGACGCCCCCCGTCCGCTCCGCACAGCCGCCCAGCACCAGGAGTGAACCCACCACAAAGAGAAGCAGCACCTGCACCCCCGCCCCCGGATCACCAGACGGCCAGCCACACACCCACGGTGCTAAGGACTACCGAGAAAGTCACTCCAGCCGAAAACGCCCATTCCGTCGACCCATTCGTTCATTATGTTTTAGTGGCACGTGAGAAGACGTCAGAGAGATTGTGCGCGCCGCAATGGCCATGTTCGAGGCACTTTCGCGGATGTTGGAATTACGAGGCCTACATCTTGTTTTCTTTTTAGTTATTTATTTGTTTGGCGGGTTTTCTTCGCCCAGGGGGCAGAGATAAAGGCGTGAAGCCTGACAAGGTCTCTGCCCCCAAAAGTTCAACAGTGAACAGTGCAATACATTCAGCAGAACATGGCATACTCGGTAAAAATGAAAATAAAAAAAGTGAAAGCCGTTTACAAACCCCTGTAACGCCGAATTGGAGCGCAGCTCTTGAGGAGGAGGAGTGAAGGGTACTGAGGGGAGGGTAGACCCCTCCTCCTTCTCCTCCTCCTCCCCTCAATCTTTAATATGCTCCGGGGGGGGGGGGTGACGTGACCTCGGGGGGGGGGGGGGGGGGGGGGGGTGTCACGTGACTTCAGTGAGGGGGGTCCCGTGACCTCGGGGAGGCGTGACCTGGGGGTCACGTGACCTTGGGTGTCACATGGGGGTCACCTCAAGGTCACGTGACCCCCAAGGTGACCCCCACGTGACCTCAGGGGGTCACGTGACCTTGGCGGTCACGTGACCTGGAGGGGTCACGTGACCTCGGGGGGTCACGTGACCTCAGAGGGGTCACGTGAACTCAGAGGGGTCACGTGGGAACCTTGGAATCACGTGACCTTGAGATGACCTTGGGAGCGGTCACGTGACCTCGGGGGTCACGTGACCTTGGGGAGGAGACCACGTGACCTCGGGGGTCACGTGACCTCAGAGGGGTCACGTGACTTGGGGGTCACGTGACCTTGGGGGTCATGTGACCTTGGGGGTCACGTGACCTTCAAAGGGTCACGTGGGGTCTTGGGGTCACGTGACCTTGAGATGACCTTGGGAGGGGTCACGTGCCCTCGAGGGGTCACGTGATCCCAAGATGACCCCATGTGACCCCCAAGGTCACGTGGTGACCTTCAGGGGGTCACGGGGGTCACGTGACCTTGAGATGACCTTGGGAGGGGTCACGTGACCTTGGGATAACCTTGGTTACGCCAACGGCGACGCCGACGGCGACGCCGCTCAAGCCGGAAACGGGCCCCTAAGAGCTGCGCTCTAAAAAGAAGGCACAATGAAACAGGTCGTTCAACATTGAACAGTGTGAAATGTGAAATGAAATAAAAGGGCGCAATAAAACTAGCAAAATCATGTTACACAACAAGCATGATTCATAGCGTAGAACAAAGTGTAACATTGTATGACACAGAAGTATCGTATCACCAATATACCGTAAAATCCCGAGATAGCCCACCTAAAATCAAGAAAAAATCGGGTGAAAATATGTGATGGGCCAACTTTCAGTGTACAATCAAGAAAAGTTGAAACCATTATATTTTTAGGTCATGCTTCCCTTCCAAGCTTGTTATCGTGGCGAGGGGCAACGAAGTAAAGATGACTGCTCCCCAGTCATCAATGATCGGGTATATCCCGCCGCAGCTAACTAGCCGCATTTACGCGCTGAGGCCATCATGGATCCCAGCACTACTATTACTAGAAGTGGGCCATCTTTCGGTGTTTAAAAAAATATATAAAATCAAGCAAAACGTAGGGGTGGGCCACCTTTCGGGAGTGGGGCATCTCTCGGGATTTTACGGTAAACATACAAAAAAAACGCCTTACACAAAAGGAAAAAAAGGAACAGAGAAGAGGGTTACAGCATAAAATAGGACTGATGGCCGCCATTTAGTTTAGCAATAAAGAATAATTAAATATATGTCAAGAGCCACATTTGTAGTTATGTATAAGTAAATAATAAAAATAACTTAGCCTACATATTACACGACTGAGAAGCTGATACCACTGCCCACGAGAAACCTTTGGCACTGCTTCTTGAAGGCATAAAATGTTTTACTATAATCTAGTCATACCTCTTCTGTTCAGCATCTTGGTTATCTGAAATGACAAAGTTTGGCGGCCATAATTAATTCTTGTTGAAGGCATCCTTCCCTTTGGGTCTCACAGTTGGTAAGGACCTAAACTCGCTTTTGGCGTGGAGTATATTCTGTGTTTGTGAATCCATTGTAAGAGCTTAAAATAGTATACTTGGTCTGCCTTAAGCATATTATATTTGACGAATAATGGTTGAGTTCTTATGTTTCTAATATCTTCTTTATAATTTTCGCACATGCGAAGAATCCTCTTCTCGAAGGTGATAAGCTCGACATAGTTTGAATTGATTGTCGTCCCCCAAAACTAAGATGCCGTAACTGATTTTAGAGTAGAACAAAGAATAATATGTCTGTTTTAGCCACGTGGGCAGCAAGTTTCGTATTTTATATATACTTCACGTAACACGAGATAATTCGCCATTGAGTTTATTCATGTCAGCGTTCCATGAAAGGTCCTCAGTCAACCATACACCGAGAAATTTTTGTTCCGACACTTGCTCAAGCACAGAGTCTTCAAATTTTAAGCTTAGGGGGCTGCAGTCGAGTTAATTTACTGACTTAAAAATAATATACTTAGTTTTGCTTGTATTTAATTTTAAACAATTTGTAACCAACTGGATAGCTTCAATAGGTAGACATTTGCAGTATTTTCTAGGCATTTTTTCGTCACCCCAGGAAAGAATATGTTGGTATCGTCTGCATGCATTATTAGATCGGGGGAACTAAATATGGTCGTTATATCATTAACACATATAAGAAAAAGAAGAGGACCTAAAATTGACCCCTGGGGAACACCATGCTGTATTTTAAGTCGATTTGATGATTCGCCGTTTATTACTTATGTACTGGTAATGATCTGCAAAATATGTTTCAAGTAATTTTAGAGCTACTCCGCGCACACCATAAATTTCAAGCTTTCTAAGTAAAATATTGTGCTGCACAGTATCAAAAGCTTTACTTAAATCTAAGAAGAGACCAAGAGTAAATAATTTGTCCTCAATATTTTTTTTCAACTATTTTATCCTTTATGTTAAGTGCTAGCTCCGCCGATTTTTGCTTTTAAAAGCCGTATTGGGACTGCATTATTATACAGTGGAATCTCGTTAATTCAAACCCTCTTAATTCAAACTTGCGGATAATTCAAACTAACATGCAGGTCCCATCCTATGCATCTCTATGGGAGGACACTCCCGGTAATTCAAACTTTGCTTTATTCAAACAAAATTTCGGTCCCCCTCGAGTTTGAATTAACGAGATTCGACTGTATTATGCTTCTAAAAAAAAACCTGTTAATCTATCAGCAATCGCACGCTCAAATATTCTAGAAAAAACTGGAAGAACTGAAATAGGCCTGTAGTTATTAATGTTGGTCTCACCACCTCCTTATACACTGGAGTAACCCTGGCTATTTTTAGCTCGTCAGGGAAATCACCAGACTGAAGCATCTTACTTTATTCAATATTATTATATTCAATATTATATTATATTCGATAGAACTGGACTAACTATGGTCACAGTGTACTTAATAGGTAGGGTTTTTATTTCATTGACTACAGTAACGACGTCATTTTTTAGGTTTCTGATTATTTTACCAATTTCAAATGGTGTCGCTGGAGTAAGCATAATCGACCCAATTTGGCTTCCTGCATCAATACAGTCGTCGATGTTGGAAGCCCTCCCAGTATAATACCCATGCTAATAAAATGTCAATTCATTTCATCGCCAAATTCCTTCCCTGTGCCCCGACGATGTTTGAGTGTCCCGACATCGATATATTCAGGATAATCAAATGGAAAATTGGTCCATGATCTTCTACGGGACCTCAATGCATACGTAGCACCCCTCTGCCAGCCGAGGACGCCTTGGAGCCCAGCTGCACATGGACAGGACAGACCGCAGACTCCCGGATCGGGTATCATAGCAGTTTTGGGATGTGGCACAAGAGAGCAGGGTGTCGTGACATGGGGAGAAGTAGCAGTTTTAGGATGCGGCAAGAGAGAACAGTCCCCCTTTTACTGGTTGCGATCTCGGGAAGTGAAAGGGGAAGGGCTACGAAACACCCAAGGGCCCCAGGTCCCGGGTGGCCTGGCTACGCCGCTGCCGGGAACACTACCGGACAAGTTAATGAGCACTTGGATTTGTATCAGCTGGGCGAAGACTGCTTGCTGCTTCGCTACATCCCAACAATCGCTGAAAAAGAGAGCAAAGAGTCTCCAATGAGGGTCCCGATTCCTAGAAAACTACGGTGACTATCCATTGGAGATGGTCGTCTGCAATATAATTAGCCCATGGCCGCAAGATGTGGATTCCGCAAGGCGCAAGATGTTGATTCCGCAAGGATCAAGCAGGTGGCACGTTGCAGTAAGGGACATTGTCACGTGGGATTCAATGTCGGGGACTTGGTCTTACAGAGACCCACTGAGCAGTGCAGCTTGAGTCTTATTAAGGATTGCTTTAGAGCGCTCTTGCCAAAAATGCTGTCCCTAGAAGAAGTTAAAAATGCAGGGGCAACGATAGTTCCGGTAAGGCATTTTCTTGCTTGGCAGGGAAAGAGCTGAAGGCATTCTTTGGGCCAAAATAAGAAAACTCAAAACGTACAAGCCAGAAAAAGCCTCCTGGACAAGTGAAATGTGGCGTGTGTGCATTGTTTTCTCTCGACGATTGGCAAGTTGCTGCCAAGTGTCTATGTGGTTTGGAGGACACAGATGTTTCAAACTAAAATCAGTAAGAGGTGTCGCAATTATTGAATATTAGGATACTTTCAGTGTGATGTACTCGCATCTTACCAGATATACGAGGTGCTGTCTAAACGTTCCCAGACTGATTTTGTATCATAAAAAGAGAGGGCGGAACGGTGACGCGTGAGCAGCAGTAGAAGGAAGGGGCCTTCGTGCCTCATTATGCCAAATGGCATCATTCTGTGAA